TGTTTGCACCTGGTAAGCTTTCAAAAGCTACTGATACCAGGACCCCACCAACGGACTGCGATTCAGGGGATCCCGGGGGTTCTAACGTGCACGCAAGCCTGGGACCACCTGGGGCCGTTGCCCTGCGCCTTGTTTCTTCCACTAGGTTAGGACACCTGCTTTGAAAGTGCTGCTCCAGCTTCTAAGCCTGGACTGAAGTGAACAATTAGCAGCCTGGCAATCACAGCCCTGCAGAATCAATATGGCACAGTAACGTCAGCAATAAAGATGCATGGGAAGCCAAACCTGATCTCGAATCCTTTGGCATTTCCCCCCTTTTCACTGCCCCACAGGCTCGGAGCTTGTCACAGAGGTCCTATAGGTCCTGAAGGATAACCCAGCTACAGTCAGGCTCTGCTAAGAAAAGGCCCAGGGTGGGGGAGGGGTTGGTGGGCCAGGGTGCCTCAAAAGCTACAGCAGCACCTAGACCTCACTGATCCCTGCCCTTTAGCTGGTTGCTCTGTTCTGCCTTAATAACAGGATGCATGAGGCAGCAGCCCCTCTAGTCTGGTAGGCAGAGCAGCCCAAATTTGCCCCAGACTTTAAACAATGTCACCCTACAACTGCCTGCCTGCCGCCTTCTTTCCACGACAAAGGGGGCTTTATCAGTGAGCTCTTCCCCGGAGGCACTGAGCGCACGGCCTCGACCACTGCAGATGGGCAGCAAACAGCCGGAGCTGCTGTCCAGGACGGACTCTGAGAGCGGGCGTGCACCAGGTGAGCTGGCCCTAGGCCCGCGTCCTTCTGTAGCATTTACCGAGATATGGACGGGGTCCCTCGAGCTCTAGACTGACTTCTCGCAGCTGCCTGGGGAGTAGGGAGTGAGTAGGTAAGGTCACATGTGCAGCTCCATCTGACTCATCCCTCAGAGCCATGCTCTTGGCCACGTGGATGAGCTCAATCCACCCCACCCCCAAATGGCATTCAAGAGCTCAGCGAAGCCACAGGCTGCTTGTTCCCAGGCAGGGGAAGGAGACACCAAAAACACAGCCACAGACACCCAGGTTCACCATCCCAAGCCAGACAATAAATAATTGTTCACCTGCAGCTGAATGACTCCTTAAAAAACACGATGGAACAATCTTTCCCAAGTCACTTGGTTTGAGCTCAAGTTGACCGTGGACTGAGCCAGGACCAAATTTTCAGATTATACAGGTATTTCTGAAGACTCCTCTGAGAGGACCCTAGATGGCATCAGGCATCAAGGAGGAGTCCTGAAGTGGCTGCTGACCTAAGGACAGCCCCCACCTCAACCTAAACTCTGCAAGAGTCTGAAGATCTAGCAAAGGAGTTGGCTTCCCTTAGGATAGTGGGACAGTGTCTCTCCAATAAGAATGACTTTGCAGTCAGGAGCTGGCCTAAGTATCATGTCTCCATTGCTTCCCACCTCCCTCCTTGAAATCCACACTGGAACCTCTTTGGAAGCTTAAATAACAAGTGGTTGCTGGCCTCTACTCCCTGCCCTACCCAGGGAGGTTTGCATGGATAAGGCCCAGCCAGCTCCAGGCATTAATATATAGAGGAGGCTGGAGAATGAGTGAATACCTAGAACTTACAAGTGAGAGGGTCTTTCTGCCAACCCCCCCCCCCCAAATCAGGACAGCAGGAAAGCTAAATGAAAGCCCCCTCCATGAAGCTCCAGATGGAGGCTGCAAAGATGACAGCTTCTAACACATGCTTTTAATTACCAGTGATACAGTGAGGCTCGGGGAGCAAATCCTTTCCATTTCCACCAGCAAGCTGAACCTAGCAGCTCCCGTCTGTGTCAGACCTCTCCTCTCCGAGGTGGGTCTTCCTAGGCCAGGACATGTTCCAGGCACCATAGTCAGGTTGACAAGTCACAATTCAGAACCAATTCACCAAAATGCCTCTACCCCCAAAGTGCGTATTCTCATGGAGAAGCTGCACTGAGGTCCACCGACCCCATATGAGAGGGGCGCAGGCCTATCCCAGAGCCTGCCTTGGGCATGTCTGCTCATGTGTCTGTGCACAGGAGTCTATCTGTACGTCTGTAGTGTGTGCGTGCGTGCGTGCGTGCACACACACACATGCACGCACATGCACACACACACAACCATGCATGGAGCAATCCATCTGTCTCGGAGAGCTGGCTGTCAGAAATGAAAGTACAATCTCCTGGAACCGAGTCACAGCCTTCTAAAAATGTGCCGTTTTCCCAGACTAGGGAAGCTTGCAGGGGTGGGGTATGTTCACTGCGAGTCCCAAAAGCCTGGGCCTGTCACCGGCCAGCCCCACGCTGCGAGGCTGGAATTCCAACCTGCAGCCAGCAGGCCAGCTCCCAGGGCTTCTGCCGCCCACTCCCCTTCCTCTCCCCTTCCTCGCAGGAAAGGGAAGGGCCAGCCTTGGAGTCACCCTGCATTTCAGGAGGGGGCATGCCTTTGAGCACACCCCCACCCCCACAGCCAAGGCCCCACATTTTCACATTCGGCTGTTTTTTCTTTCCCTTCTTCCCGTGCCAAGAGAATCAAGCCCTGGCTCCCGCTGCCGACCTGCCTCCCACCCTAAACTGAGCCCCATTCATTAAGGCCACTCTCAGCCAGGGCAGGACAGGAAGGAAAACAGCACACAGGGCCTGTGAAAGAGACGCTCAGAGAGGTTATTTCAAGGCGGAGGAGGGAAAAGAGGGGGCAAATCCTTGTGGGCACTTGCACTGCTGCCCCCCTTGATGCCCACTTGCCCCCCCCATAGCAGGCTCTGACTCTCCAGCCTCTGCTAACCCCTTCCCCTACCCAGCAGGGCCCCCCTGCGGGCCCTGCAGCCACCGCAGCCCCCAATGGCCTCATCCTCAGCAAGGCAGACACACCCAGCCCCCCCACACACACACTCCCAGTGGAAAGATCAACTTCTTGGGGAGGAGGAGGTTTGGGCTGTCTCCATTTACAAAACCCTCTGCCCTGGACCTGGGCCACTACAATCATCTTTTGGGGGGAATTTTTGCTGCAAAGGGTGTAACGCTGGGTGTTCTCCATGCCCATCACCTCCCCTCCAGACACCCCCAAACCACTGGCATCCACCCAAAACACAATTTCTTCAATTTCCCCCCACGGCACATTATTAATAAACTGCTCCAACTCCGAACGGAAAGAAGAAAGAGCTCAAACTTTGAAGCCTTGGGAATTAGTAAATCAAGAGCTAAAATTCAAAACAAATGCTCTTTCATGTTGAGCGCCCCCCCTTTTTTTCTTTTGCAGTTTTGTTAAACCACGGGACCCCTTCAGAGGCAAACATGCCTTCGTAGCAGCTCCTCATTAATCTAAATGGTTGCAATTACTTTGGGGGGGTGTGGGGGGATTAATAACTATTTTACCCTGTTTCTTTCTAGAACTGAAAAGCTTTGGGAACATAAAGCCCACCCATCTCAGAAGGGGCTGCGTGGGGTATACTGTTTCGTAGGTCACTCTGCTCAGCTCTTGGGGCGCACAGGGAGGCACTGGGTCTGGTGGCTCAGCCTGGTGTCGTCACTTCCTCCAGCCGAGGAGACAGACAAGATGTTATCAATAAGACAAACCTTCCAAAGAGCCCCCCTTTCAAAAGCTACCACTTCCCTTGCTTATTTCATGTGGTTCAGAGGGGCTGGGGTGCCTCCCTGCACATTCAGGATTTAAAAAATAAAACCATCTAACAACATCCTGAGTGTTATTTTTTTATTTTGCCCAAACCCTTTCCTCTCCCCAACCTTCTTTCTTTCAGGAACTCTGTCAGCCTTAGAAAGCAGAGAGACGCAGTCCCGTGGCGCTGGTGCCCTCCCCCCACTCTGGCTCACACCCATCCTCCAGGCCCAAGCCCCGGTCCCTCTCTGGGTCCCTCTTTTTCCTGCTCAGTTCTCATTAGGAGCTTTGAGTAAACAATACCCTCTGTCTCAGATAACACTCAGAGTATATACTGCGTAGAAATGAAAACAAACAAGGTCTCCCTAAAGACATTCTCAGCAAGCTCATTCCTGAAGAGGAGAGGCTGGGAGGGAACTGAGCAGGATGACCTGGGCCTGAGCAACGCCTGACCAATTAGTCACATCACAGAAGAGGATGCACCACGGTCCCCCCCAAAGTCAGCTTCACAGCTTCCATCTGAGCTGCCATGGCCCAACACCAATGCCCCAAACAAAGGCAAGAAGTGACAAATGCCCAGACTCTGCTGGAATGTTTCCCCTGGGGTGACTTTCCTCTGGCTTTAGCTAGTTCTTAGAACATCCAGTGATGGCACCCTGGGGTGGGAAAGGCAGGTGGAAACAGGATGTCTTTTGAAAAAAAAGGCAATGCCTCTCAGTTACATCGCTAATGAGTTTCTCCAAGTTTATCACAATCTTCTCATGTCACTCGGAGACAATGATGCTACCTACCGCCCTGCACCATCCAATCCCATTATCCTCCAGCTCTAAGGAAAACCCTCCCTCCTGGGTAGCAGTGTGAGTGCCTCCTGTCCGCCGTGCCCAGACCCCGTGGCTACAGCATCCTGCACTACGCTGAACTGGGAATGAGGACTCGGACCAGCATCAAGGACGTCTACTTTGAATGCCCAGGCTACACCTGGGATCTGTCTTCAAGTTCCCAAACAGTGGGTCCATCCCCTTGGAGGCACCCAATGCACAAAGGGCAAGAGCAAAACAAGAGCTGAAACCATGAACTAATGACACCAAAGTCACCAAGTGGAGCCCCTCGAGCAGGAGTTGCTTAACAACAACCATGAAACACAGCACACCAGTCCCAAAATGGACCCCATTTCCGCGTCTACGGAGCGGGCCCTGTGTCCTGGTGTGTGAGGGACTTCAGAATGATGAGCTGAGGGGGCCCGGTCATCAAGACTGCATCCAGTTTAATGCACAGAAAAGTGGAAATTCCAGACCAGCTGGGGTGACAGACGGTGGACCACCCCCATCCCTCCATCTCCAGTCATTTCAAGAGGTCTTGGAATTGCCAGGAACATCTGAGAAAGCGTCTTACCTGAAAGCCCCCCAGGGGCCAGATAATTCGTTCCCCCTGTTTCAGCGGAGGAAGGCACAGCATCTGGACAGTCTGCTGTGGGTTTGAAAAGGGGAGAAATAAACACAGAAATAAATAAATAAAAACACCAAGATTAATTTATAAGCACATCCGAAAAAGCATTAAAGAGAAACCACACATTCCAAACAGCTGACTCCCAGCCACGAGGCTGATCATGAATGGGCTGCTCAGGTCTCGCTGCCCATCATTAGACAGACCACAGCACCTTGTCACCCGTCTGGGCTCCGGGAGGCCAGTTAATCATTAGTCAAGTCAGGCTCGATCACAGACTGGCTGGAAGTTCTCTTTTATTGTAAGTCCCCCATTGAGGAAACCAGGTAGTTCCCAAGGTCAAAGGAGGCCCAGGTTCTGACTCTCAGCCCTGCGGCTGTCTCCCTGCCGTGGTTCCCAGAGCCTCCTGCTTGGATCCAGTGGCCTCTCTGCCACTCCCACGGACCAGTGTCTCGCCCTCATCTTTTTAAAAAAGGACAGACAGACTTCCCAGTTCTTTAGGATTTTCTCAAGACAGGTGTTGGGCTAAAGGGACATCTTTTTCCTTTTTAACTGCAGTATAACAGGTATAGGGAAGCATACACATCTCAAGTACCACTCCACGAACTGTGCTCATGTATACACCTGTGCAGAGCCACCACCAGATCAAGGCAGAGAACATTCTCGGCAAGACTCCCACCTGAAGGGGGAATGTTCTACCTGCTTCCAGGCCTAGTCCACACTCCCCATCTCTGGAAACCTTCCCAGACAACCCCTAACTATACTGTAAGCTTCTCTTCCTATCTTTGTAACCCTCAAGTACTGGGCACAGTGACCTGAAAGTTAATGAGGGTAATGACAAATCTAGCTGCGAAATAGACTCGACAACCCTCTCCAAGCAATTAAAACAAAAAACAGTGCCCATGACCCAGAACTAATTAGTCCCAGGAAACAAAAATACACAAAACCCTGTCTTGCTGAAATCCATAGAGAAAGGCTAGCTCAGACCAGGTGACTCCCAGCTCCGCAGCAAACAGCAAACACCAGGCTGGATGGTGCGACTCCAGCCCCCAGCCGGACGGACCTGGGTAAGCACTACCAGTTTCCCACTGGAACCACTTGGCCAACAGGAAACAAGCAAAAGAGCAGTCCAGAGGCCCGTAGCCCATGGGAGCCTTTTAATAGCCCAACAGCTATTTCCATTACCTGAAAACAGGAGGGGGGTTTGCTACAGGTAACCCCGAAGCACCTCTGGGTTTATGCTGCCTGCCCCCCTCCGCTCTCTGGCTAATCCCTCTCCACCATTGTCCTGCCTTCTCGCTCAGGCTGGAAGAACTTGTCAAGAATTCTCTTAACTGGGAGAGGAGCGGCCGCAGGCAGGGAAGAGAGAAAAGACTGTGTGTTCGGATGGCCTCATTTTATCGGCATAAAGTATAACTCCTAACAGGCATATACTTTTTACAGGATACACTTAATCAAATGGAAAACAATAGGGGAGGACAGGAAATGGAGTTGCTTGTTACATGGTGTGTACCCTGCTCCTTCTCAACTACTCTGATGGCCTTCACATGTTCTACAGAGAGGCTAGCTCCCTACCCCCCAATGGGAGACACCCCCACATCACACACGATGACTTATCCAGGGCCACTCCGCTCCCCCCACCCGGCTTTGGCTGGCTGAATCCCAGGGTAAGGTGTATTTCAAAGGGAGGGCCCGGCATCTCAGGGCAGAGCTGGGACCACATTCAGGGTGTCGGCCTGTCTCAGATCAAAGGTAAGCCAGCTCGGCACTGGCAACCACAAGCGTTTTTATGAAATGGTGCTCTGCCCTTCTACAGAGTCTTTGATCTCAGGAAGGATTTACAAACATTAATTAGGCCTCCCTACCACCCCTGTGAAGTAGCAAAGTATACCTGTTCAACTGGCACCCAGGTAAACTGAGGCGTCATTGACTAGCCCAAGGGACCACCCGCTGAGCTGGCCATACCCAAGAGTTCAGCACCTGTCCCAAACTCTCCCTCCCCGGGCCACCAGCGTCCTCGCTCCCTTCCCTGCAAGTAGTCAGACTGACACTGGCTTCAGCATCCAGACTGGCCTCAAGCTACTGCCAGGCTCGTAAAGCACAGTCAAGGCTGCCACACCTCCGGCAGTCAACCAGAGAACAGCTCTGCAGAGACAGAGATCCAAAGTCAGGGCTCAGCTCCTGCCTGCCTTGCCCACTCCCCAGCGCCCAGGCTGGCTCACACGCAGAAGCCTAAACATTACCAAGAACCCAGTAAGTGCTGGGGGATGAGGGAGCCTCCTTCTCCTCTCCCAGCAGCAAGATTCCTAGAAGACGCAGGCCTGGGGAGAAGCCAAGGAACAGCTGCTGAGGAGCACAAGGTGAGGAGGCTGGGGTCCCACTTCCCTCACCAAGACAATGAGTGGTTCCCGAAGAGACAGGATAGTCTTGTCAACTTAGTTCTGAGCTTTTTAGGTACTGTCCAGGACAGAGGAGGAGCCGCCACCACCACCACCAAACACCAAGTGTCCCGGCTCTGCCCCAATCCATAGAAAGATGCCCCGATCCATAGAAAGACAATCTACTGCATTAGAATCATCACATATTTTAGGCAGGCACATCATCAGGCCTGCAGAATGAATGAATGAACCAAAAAATGAGTGAATGAATGAATCACCAGTCTAACTCTTTGATCATCTGGCTTTATAAAGAAGCCTAGAAAAGTCAAAAGTAGCCTGAGTTAGCAGGTAAAGGCAGGCTACGTCCCAGGCTTCTCAACTAAACTTTGGGGGCTCCACCTACCAATGGGCACTGGCCAACTGGGTTCCCAGCCTAAGCAGATACATTGTACCCAGCAACCCCCCACCCCCCATCATTCTTCAAACCTTTCAGACCATGGGATACTGAGGACACGAGGAGCAGAGCCTACAGAGCAGTGCCCCCGGCCCTCCCCACTGCACAAAGTGAGACCTAATTTCAAACACCAGGCTCTTATCCCAGTGCAATGAGGGCAGGGAGAGGGTCTTCCTAATTTCTGATTGCCACAGGGCACAGCCACCCTGCCCCTAGGCTCAACCGAGTCTAAGGCTCCTGCCCAGGAAATGCTGCTGACTTGGGACCACCTAGCACCCAGGTCTACAAAGGTCAGGCCCTCACAGAGGCTGCAGCTTGGCTGTTGCCCTGAGTCCTTTCGAAGGCTGCAGGGTAGGGCCCAGCCCCTTTCCCACTCTCTTCCCAAGCTGAAGACTTCACAGAAAGAATTCCCTTAGTTGTGTAACTGGTTAAGATTTTAACAGTCGTCCACTGTAAAAACCTTATGACTGGTTTTCACCTAGTAACCCAAGGCCAAAAATTCCACCCAGGGCTTAGAAACTTAAGAATGTAAGTGGCAGATCTAAATTCCCCAGCCAAATACTCTTCTCCCACATATAAGGTGAGGAGTAAAACCTGGGGCAGCATCCCATCTGTGTATCTGACCTCACTGCCCCTGGCCACAGCAGCCAGCAAAACCAGCCCCAGACCAACGGTGGGAGGGGGAGCCTCCAGCCCCAGACCTGGCTGCCCTTCAATGCGTCAGGACAGTACCTTCCATGGGGGCTTCCCCTGTTACCTCCCTCCATGTCCTTACACAGAGCTGCCTTTTCTTCATTCCTTTTTTGTTTTAATTTAAACAAAGCGTTTTGGGTGAGTAACCAGCTGTTTGAGCTTCCGATTGGCAGGTTAATCACTTCCTATTGGCTGATCTGGAGAACTTTTCTCCCCCTTGGAAATGGCACATTCCTGTCTTTGTGGCTTCTCTGTTTACACACATTTTGCTACCTAATGTCAACACTTGCTAATGAATAAATATATCACTCCACTCACTGAAAATGAGGTCCTGGCCTGACAGAATGACTGCTTAAATCCGGTGAGCAGATTTATTCCGATATCTTTGCAGGAAACCCAAGAGAACATAACCCTTTTTTCTTTTACGGTTTTAGGTTTCTGGGAACATTTACCCTAGTTGTCTTTACCCCTGGGGTCAAGGTGACTGGTCTGTCTCTCTTTTAAGGAAAACCTCCACATTTGAAGACTACGGAAGAAAAAACAAAAACAGGGCAGAGGTGGTCCTTGGAGAACTAACCTCATGAAAGGATTCTTGAGTATTGAAGCCAAAAACCCGGTCAAGTTATTATTTGAGAAAACAGAGCTCGGTAACATTTGTTACAAATACAGAGAGCTGGTTATCTCCTCATTAATGACCATTTATCTGGTGTTTTGTAAATCGAAAGCAAAATATCACATGCTTTGCAGGCCACTTATTAGACAGGCACCAGGCAAGCAGCAACGCCTTCCCGACTCGAGGGATCGGCGTCGAGTCCCGGGAGGGCTGTGGGCTTCGGTTACACCGTTCATTAAAGTATTTAATTTATGACAACGCCCCAGCAAAACTTTTAATTAGTGGGGGGAAAGCCCAACAGCCAAAACTCATGAGGCGGAAGAACTTGTAGAATTCCAAGAGCGACATGAGGCCCAACCCTGCACTTCTCTCAGAACCCTGGCAAAAAAATAACATTCTATTTTTCAGGCATCAAGTAAACAGGGCGCAAAGTTTCAAAGTTACACTCCCTACTTTTCAGCAGGTGAATCTCCCACTGTAAGAAGGGGCTCCTGGATGCAGGGGTCCTCCCCGTGGTCACCCTCCTGTCCCGGCTTCGCAGACCCTCTTTCCCCGCACTGTTAGCTCCACAGGGTGAGCCCCTGCACTGCCAGCCAGAAGTTGCATGCAATCACAACAGGGCTGGTGCCAGTCTCAAATGAGCGTTTGCCCTGGCCCCATGCCATCCGGTGACAACAGGCAAGCAGAGCTATGCTAAAAACTTTTACAGCCCCAACCTAGAACTCTGAGAAAATCCGGGAGGAGTGCTGACTTGTATGGGAGGGAGAAGAGGAAACCAGCGAGGGTGGTTTTGTCTTGACTTAAAATTTTCTAACCATTTACTCAAAACAAAAGTCTTTTCTGCACCTTTTTAAAACTGTCTTCCCTTCCATCGAATTATCTCTTCCCACCGGCTCCTCTGGCACTCACAAAGCCTTCAAATTTTCCCATCAACCTGTCCTATTTGGCTCCCAAGACATCTCTGCGTGGATTAAATTCCACGTGTTAAAGCTGAGCCAACTTCAGCCACGGTGTGCAAATACATGAAAAAAGAACAAATTGTAAAGCATATCTATCTAGGAAACTTTTTTTAAAGAGTATATATACACGTATATATCATTTCCAGCCACAACAAAAACAGAAAAATCCGAACTTCCAACAGAGGATACCTATAACCACCTCCAGGCAAACCCAGCACCTCCCCAAGCCGCTGCCTGGGCATAAAAATCCGCGTTCTAGAGGCTGTTTCTAACTTAAGAAAGGAAGGGTATTTTTAAAATCATCTACTCACCAGTTGGTTTGAGAAAATCCATCGGGTATCTGGAGTAAGGAGGAGGGGGAGACTCTGGAATTAAAAAAGTAAGAGAAAATAAAGGCCGAGCCATGAGTAAGAGAGATAGAAACTTATGATAACAGAGGCATTCTTTTAGCCCAACTGTTTGTCTTAGCTGTGGGGGTTGGAGGCAGGGCCGCGAGGCGGTGATTGCCTTGATATTTAGCTGTCAGATAAACAAAAGAGGCCGCCTGGCGCCAGCCGCGGCGCTCCGCTCCTCCACGTCTGCGGACGCCACCGCGGCGCTCGGCGGGCCCCGCTGGAAACCACCCGATCCGCCGCGGCTCTGCTGGGCCACGCACTTCAGTTCTCAGGGCGGGGGGCGACAAAGGCCCCCTCCCAGTCCCGGAACTTCAGACCCAGCTCCCACTTCGTCCCCCCCCCGCCCCGCCCCGCCCCGCCCCGCCCCCCAGGGGCGCAATTCACCCCCGCCCCGGCGCTCAGGTAGGCACCGGCGCGGGGAACCCGGCTCCGCTTTCCCAGCCCACCCGAGAGACGCGCCCCAGGTGCGCTGGTGAACCTAGGAGGATCTATTAGCGCCCAAATTGCACCCTTCCCCCGCCCTGAACATAGACGCAGAGAAAAAGGAAGCAATGGAGGAGGCTGAACGGATAAATGGGGGCAGGCTGGGGTCTCAGTCCAGGCCCCAGCGCAGTAAGGGGGAAGCATCATCACCGAGGAGCTGGAAACTGACCACCCCCCTATAGTTAATTCTACGATCTCTTGTGCTGGAAGAAAGTAAAGTAGGGGTCAACCAACTTCTCCTGACTCCTTGTTCTTTACAACCCTGAGAGTAGAGTTGAGAGGGTTCGGCCTCCCACCCTAACACACTTTGCCCCCAAATCCCCGGAACTGCACGGCCAGGGCAGAATCCGGGCCACTGTGCCCGACGTGACTCTCTTTATTTACTAAAGGAGCAGAGACTTCCCAGCCTTTACAACTCGCTTCTCCCGGCCTTCCTTGGCGGGCTTGGACCAAATCCAACTCGGCCACACACCTCAATGCCTTTCCGGGTGCGGGGGAGGCGTGACCCCTACTCTCTGCACCCTCTAACTGACTGGAAATGAGGACGTCTAATTTCTAACCGCATGTCTGCAGAATGTGCATGTGCAGTGCCCATAGTCCCCATCGGGACAACATAGGAGAAAAAAATTGTGAGGGAACCCCCAGGGAATGCCCTTCCAGTATCCCCTAGTCCCTTCTTTACTTTTGTCCCCAAGTCTCCTACCAGGAATGGCTGTACACTCCCCTCCAGAGAGGTGGGTGCACAAACACGCAGCCCAAGGGGGCTTTTCTTCCACCGCTTCAGCGCCGGGGGGGGGGGGGGGGGGGGGCGCAAAACAACTTCTTACCTAGTTCGCAGAGTCGGCTAAGGTGATGGGGGTTGCAGCACACTAGCTCGGGGTTGATCTTCCCGTAAGATTCACAGCAACACAGCCTCTTGACTTCCGAGGAATGCCTGAGATCCGGCCACCTGAACACTTTGCACAGCAGGAGGGGGAGCGAATAGGACGAAGGCGGCTGAGCTGGCTGCGAGCTGGCGGGCGCCCCCAGGCCCAGCCTGCAGTCCAGGCGGCCAGGCAGCAAGAGGCACGCGGTGCGCGTACCGCCGCGGGACTCTACGGCCTGGAGCAGCAGCTCCAGCTGCCGTTCCTTCAGTTTCTTGAGCACCGAATGTGTGAGTGCCTTCAGATCCGCCTCGGCGCCCCCGGCCGCACCGGTGCCCGCGGCTGGGGGGTGGGGATGGTGACCTTTGGCACCTCGGACCGCCTTGCCCAGGCAGCAGCCAGCCCTGCCTGTGCCACTGCCACCGGCCCCATGTGCCCGGCCGTCCGTCGCCCCTTCTCCCCGCAGCTCGCCTCCTCCTCCGCCTCCCCCCGTGCCCTCCTCCTCGTCCTCGCCGCCGGGCGCACGGCTCCTCCAGAGACGCCGGACGAGCGCAGATCGTTTGGTCCTGAACATGCGGGGCGAGGAGGCGAGGAGAAAAGTCGTTTGCCGGCTAAGGAGCGAACATGACCTCCGCACACCATGAAGAAGTCGGGCGCCGAGTTGGGGCAGCAGGCGCAGGCGACAACAGCAGCAGCAGGGGCCCGGGCAGGAGCGGCGACGGCCCGAGGGGCGCTCCGTGGCATGCGCCAGTCTCCCGGAGGCCGGGGCGCGCGCGGGGGCCCGTTGGCGCCCGCCGGGGCTCGGGGGCCTGCGCTCCGGCTGCCCCACCCCGCGCGGCCCGCGCCGTGCGCGGCTGTCGGGCCCCGGCGCACCCCGGAGGAACGCGGCCGCCGCTTTCCTGGGGTCGGTGAAGCCTGCCCGGGTCGGCGCCTCCCCAAAAAGAGGCCCCCCCGCAGCGGCTCCCGAGTGTCGGGCTCGCCAGCCTCGGCTTCCTACATGGAAGATCCGCGGGGGCAAAAAACGAAAGGCGTTCGACTGAGCTGCTGGAGGGAGGTAAAAGCCTCTTTCCCCCTTGCTAAGCAACTTAATTTGGGGGTGGGGAGAAGCAGGCAATTAGGAGGAAAAAAAAAAAAAAAAGCAGGCACGCGATTTATTTTTTTCCTCTATATCCTTAGTAACCGGATCTCCTCAAATTCCGTGCACACGAAGACTCGGAGGAGGGGGCCGAATGGACTTCACCCCGCATGAGATGTCTGGCGAAATAAGAAGGCTGTCTCAAAATCTAAGAACCAAGTATGCAAAGCCCAAAATGAAAAACACTTCCTCGCACCCTGGAGGTCTGGGGCCGTCCGACTAGAGCTGGGGTTTAAAAAAAAAAGAAAGAAAATGTTTACAAAGTAGAACAAGACGTTTGAGGGGTGGAAAAACCGTATCCACGAGTTACATTCCCCTTTTTTCCTTGCAGATCCCCGCTGGTCTTCCTCTCCTTTTATTCTGCCAAAAAATATCGTGTATTTCTTTTAATCCACGGAAAGCTTTGGCTAGGCTCCTTCAATCCTTCGCATCTGGGTGTCTTAGTGTAGTCTCTGTCTTTCCTCCTTCGCTCCCAGGGGCTCCGGTCCTCGGCAGGGACTTCCTCGGGGCCGGCGGGGGCGCAGGGGCAGAAGATGCTGCGGTGGCGGCTGCGCCCGGCGGGGCTGACAGCGCGGGGGAGGGCGGCGCGGCGGCAGCAGCGGGCCCCTGGCGGGTCGCGCGCTCTCGCCCTCCTGGGCGCAAGCTGCTGGCTAGTGCGGGGGCCGCCGGCGCCCCCTCCCCTGGCCGCGGCTAACCGCCGGGCTCTCCGTAAGGGCTGCTCGCCTCGACCCGGCTGCGGCGGCAGGAGGCCCCGGTGTCCTCACGCCGCCTCCACCTCCGAGACTCCTCGTCGCGCCCGGGAGCCTCCTTGTCCCCCGTCCGCCCTCTCCTGGCGCTCGGGTCCTTCTGTTGCCGCCGGGGGCTCGCCGTGCCGCTCTCAGGGGCTCTGAGGCCGGGCTCTCGGCAGCTCGGCGCCGGCGGGCTGGCTCTGTCTGGGGCAGCTCTCTCCGGCGCGGCGAGCGGACCGAGCACGGCGCCCGGCTGGCTCGTCTGGCGCGGCTCAGGGACAGGATCCTCCGTGCGCCGAGCAAGCAAGTGAGTGTGCCCCGGGCTCGTTGCCTCCCGCAAGGCCTCCCGCCCCCGCCCCCTTCCTCCCCCTTCCCTCCCCCGCCCCCAGCCGCCGCCGCCTCCCCCCCCCCCCCCCCGCGGGCCCTCTGCTCTGCTGGTTCCACTGCGCAGTGGCGCGCCCGGCTCCGGCCTCGTCACGTGGCCGTCTAGACACCCTGTCGCTTTAAAAAAAAAAAAAAAAGCGATTGTGTTTCGCAAACAACAGATCGGGTTTCTAAAAGCTATTTCTCCCCCCCGCCCACCCGCCACCGCCACCCCCCCCCCGGGTTTGCCGAGAGGGGAACCTTGGAGTAGGGGGGCGAGTAAAGGTGGGGGGCAAAGCTCCCAGAGTCGACGGAGACCTGGCCGGATCAGAGGACAAATGGGAAGCCCCGTAAGCACCCAGCGGGCTTCGCCGGCGAGTTTTGGAGAAGAACTAGCCGGTCGGTGGCCCGATTTAGACCCAGCCGGTGGAGCTTTGCAGTGGCTGTCCCGCGCGCTTGCCCTAACGCTTCATTCATTCGTTTTGTTTTTAAGGCCCTGGCGGCAGATCCCTTGGCCGCGCGGGAGGGAAGGGGGAGGAGAGCGTTGTCTCGGTTTAAAAGACATTTACACTGGACTGGACCGAGGCCCTGGGAGGTGTGCGCTGGAGGGAACAGCCGGGCCGCCGAGGGCGGGGAGGCGGCGCGAATGTGACCTCAGCAGCGGCCGCGCTCCCTCCCGCCCTCCCGCTCCGGGCTCGGGTTTCTAGGACTGCTTGGAGAAGTGTGTCTTGTGCACAGCTCTGGAATGCATTTGGCCGGTTGACGAGCTGCGAGGGGCAGCATCCAGGCGAGAGAAGGGGGAAGGGGGGGCTCGCACGCCCGCCGCCGGCAGGTTTCCTCCGGAGCCCGGAAGACCTCAGTCACCCCGCCTCCCGGTGCGGGAAGGTTACCTTTCGAGCAGACCTGCCTAGGATATGCATATGCATGCGGGGCCTGTTTCTGCACCCTCCTCGGCCTCGTAGCTTTCAAGGTGCTTAGGGTCAGAGAGTTTAGACTCTGACCCCAGGTTTGGGAGAAGCATAAACCCTCTGGCAGATTATTGCATGGGAATGGATAAAGCATTGGTAGGGCAAAGGACCAGAAGCGTTTAGTTCATGAAAGCAGATGGTACTGAGAAACATACTGACTTAAATCTATGGGCATTAGTATTAAGGAGGCCACTAGTTGGCATGGTCTAACCTCGCATAGTATTTCGTGAAATAAGCTGGTCTTTATGTTATTTAAAATTGTGAGATCTGGAGGACAATGAAACTCATTGGGGAGTTAAAGGGGTCTTTAGAAAAAGTGAAATGTACTATTTTCATTTTCTCAGCAAAAGTATGTGTTCCTAAAAAGAAAAAGCACAAATGAGCCTTAGCTTTATAGCTCAGCCCCCTCCCCTCAAGCAATTTAAAGGTGTCTGACATGCAATAGATGCTCAATAAATATTTAGGAATCAACAGAGTGGATAGTACTTAAAGGGGCATTTGGACCACACCCCAAACCCACCAAAAGCACCTTTGGAGATAAATAGAGAAAGTCAGGAACATTGATTACATGATCATCTGCAGGCAAAGGGGTCCTGAAGACACGTATGCCGAGCAGTGCATAAACAACTTGTTGTAGCACTGGGCAGAAGCTGACATTCTAAACGTTTCTTTGTAAAGCACATAGGCTGCAATTGTATACGTTCGTAATTTTGTAATAAAAATGTTGCTTATTGAAAAGGGCACTAACAGTGTATGTGTGTAACTTTCTAGAGAAGCAACTTGCAAAGATAGCAGCTGAGAAAGCCCTGGAGAAAATGAATGAGGGGGAGGTTTGGATGTGGGTGATCCCATCAGCACAGAGGGGAAGGTTTGGGTGTGGGTGATCCCATCAGCACAGAGGGGAAGGTTTGGGTGTGAGTGATCCCATCAGCACAGGCAGGGAGAGACAGAAGAGACAGAAATGAGATTTCTGAGGTGTCTGGGAAGTGTATAACCTTAGAAAGGCTTAGAATACCAGATTAGAAGTCAGAAAACCTGATTCCTGCCTAGGACCCTGCCACTCACTGGTTAAATAACTTGCACTAGTGGTGATTCTCACATTAGGAGAGCAGTTGGCAGGGTTTTAAAAGCTTTCTGGGCAAGTTTCCTGCTCTCTCGGGGTCCCATTCCCTCTCTCTGCTCTGGGCCTCACTAGAAGATCTTCACTTTTCAAGAGAGGCAAGGCAAGGCTCAAAGTGACAGAAAGGATTCACAGAAACAGAACGCAAATGTCCTAACTCAAATTAAACTTCGAATGATGAAGACTCAAGACTTTAGGAAATCTGGTCAATGGTGCTAACACTCTGGGATGCGAGGCCAAGCACACTAGGGCAGGTAGGTTTAGTGGGTGTTTCAGGAGCTGGATCTGACGTCACAGCTTGTCTGGGTGGAACATGTATACGCTTGCAGAGATATGTTCCCATATAGTGTAATTGTGGGTGTTTTAATTCAGGCGTCACCCCTATCTTGCCCTCTCTGCACGGCTTTCCTCCGTCATTTTACTACCCTAAGTAGACGATGGGAGGGATGCCGGGCAAGTAGCTGCAGTGGTCGGCGCTGCTTTATGAGCTCCCTGGCATTCCCTGAATCAGTTAATGTCCCAAGGCTTCCTGAGAGCCAGCCCCACCCCGTCACATTCTTATTTCTTTCCTTTCCAAGAAAGAAGCTGGGCAGCAGAGAAACTCCTGGCTGGCTGGTGTGCCTAGAAAGGGAGTTCCTCTCCTTTCCACCGGCCTAAATGAGACCGACAAGCACCCTGTTTCAAACTATTCTGATCCTTCCAAAGGAAAAAAAAAAAAGTTTAGAAGTTCACCAAACTATTGTGAATGAGTTTGATTCTAATCATTTGCTGGCAGAGAATATGGAATAAAATATCTCATTTGCAGTTGTTTATTTCCTGTTGTGGCTTCTATTTTCATCTTCTAGTCACTTTGGTGATAGATATCAAACAGTAATCATGGTGCAGCCACAAGTCACAGAGACCGAAATAACTTGCAGCAGAGTTATGACAAACCAGGATGGAGTCAGCTCAAGACCTGGCTACTTAATCACTGGCCCCTGGCACCCGGATGACTGCGGGGGCTGCCACTTGACTGACCGCTGGCTAAGCATCTCGAGGAAAGAGGAAGCCGGAGGGAAATTTCTCCAAGGCCCCTGGTCTTGAGCACTCAGGTCCCCAGAGTGCTCAGGAAGTGGAGGACCAGCAGGTGAACTCTGCACCGTGACCAGGGGGAGTTTGACTTGACAGAGAAAGGAAGGCGAAAACAGGAATCTATAGAACTCACCACACCTACAAGCAACCCTAAGCACAAGTGAAAAAACAGCCCTGTCCAGAGCAGACAGGATTTTTCCTTTCAGTGCTTTCTCCTTCTCAGCAGTTCCTGGAAGAGAAGAGCAGAGAGTGGCCTGAAGTGCGTGTGAGTGTATGCTGGTGGGGCCGAGGACCAGGGGTGAGGGCAGGGATGAGGCAGGGATAAGGATTTCTCCTT